CAAAGTGGTATGTTTGTTTGCTACATTTATTGTATTTTAAGTTATGTTGTGAGGCTAATTATTTCTGTTGTATTTTTCTGCTTATTTTGTCAGTTCTACGGTGTTTAAGAGCATTAAACATCAGTAAAAGGAACTCTTGTCTTCGCGTTGTAACTGAGGCCGGCACAACATTTATGCTTTTTGTGCTTCAGGAGTTCTGGGCTTCCGAGCTTTGGACCTTTCTGCTTCTCTGGTTCCAGTTTCAGTGTCTAATTTGTTCCCCATCTTACCAAGTATTTTGGCTTATTTGAAAACATACATTGCACAGCTTTGAATGTAACCAAATAAAGCAGATTGTGTGGTTATTGAGTCATGCCATAGACGAAACGTCACTGATGTGCTGCTATGTTCAATAGTGCACCAGCATGAGATCAAAGGTAAATGAATCATGGTGTATATCGGCCTCATAGTTAGTTCTGCAATGAAGTTGCTGTTTTTTTTTAATAATCTTCTATGCTAATGAATTGACATTTTGGAAGAAATGTTTGAATGTAATATAATTGCATATTTAAGTAGAAAGAAAGTAAAGTCATCAGTTTTTTATTTCAGCCACGATACTGCATCATTCTGATGTGAATCTCCATGATTGATTGTCTACATGGTTTTAGTGAGGAGAAGTACAGCTAATATTGGGTGATTTGTAAAATGGATTATTAGACTATGCTTTTCCTTGATTAAATAAAAGTAACACTGTTCCATTCTTTATGCTGAGATGTAGGAAAAAGAAGGAAGTGGGAAAAGAACCAGTATTCTTCCGTAGTTTAGATAAGGGAGAAACATAGATAAACATGTCCTTATCGTTCTCACGTCCATTTTCTTGATGAACGGAAAAAAGTTGTCTGAAATGTTTATCTGATTGAATTGTTGTCCCTGATGAACATGAAGTGTTTGTCTTAGGAAGACTCATTGTTCGTGTGTGTGGAGTCTCCTTTTAAGCAGGGGTGGGAAGCTATCCCGGCAGAGCCACACGAACAGTTCAGCTGTTTGTGTCGTTCTCCTCTGCAGAGTAAAATAAACCTTTTCTTCCTTGCGTATTGCCTCTCAGTGCTGATTTTTAATTCACGGTTTGCAGAAATATGTAGCAGTTATATAAAGATTAACTTTTTATTTTAGTATTTTATGTAATGGTTGAGATTTTTTTTTTTTTTTTTTGCATTTTATTCTGCAAAAGTTAATATTAACCTTCTTAACCTTGATCACAGCACTCATCATAAAACTTTAGCAGATAAGATCAAGAAGGAAATACTCTATGGTATCATTAACCTGTAAGAAAACAGATTAACCAAGCTGTTTATCAGATTATGCTGGCCTCTATCCACAGCTCTTTATCAGCAATAAAGCACAGTTATTGCAGCACAGGTCTAATATCAAAGGTACTTCTAAATGACCTCTATATAGTCACAGATAATACAGAGCTTCAGACTTATGGGTGGTTCTAGACAGTGGCCACCAGGGGTCAGTGCCTCTGTAGAAATGGTCCTGGCCCCTGTTATTGCTCCTCTAGTGAAGACATAACACGGAATCATATGATTCTAGCTGATTCTAGACCAATTCAGTTTTTTTTATTTAGCAGGTTTTCTTTAATGTTGATTTAGAAATGAAGTCTAAGCTGTACTGGGATAGGGTCACACAATTAATCTGCTAGATCAGGCTCTCCAGAGCTATAAATGGCATTTTGGCTCACTTGTAATAAATAATGATGTATTTAAGAATGAACTATTCCATTTTTTTTTTGTTTTCTTTAAAAAAAAAAAAAAAAAAAAAAAAAAACACTGGCCCCAGCCTGGTTATCAATCTGTGCTCTATTATTTTTGAACAATTTAGAGCCATAGCCCATTTTTATAATGGTCTCACTTTTATGTTAACAATGTTTAACTTATTTAGCTTTTAATTAGGGAAAAAATCAAGTGTTGCTTTCATAAATCAATGTTCTTCCAAAGTCTAGTTCATATCACCAGGGGCAACGATCAAATTGTGTCATCTATGTACGTCCAACAAAAACATAAATGCATCACTTTTGGTTTTGCTCCCATTTTTTATGAGATTAACTCAAAGATATAAAACTTTTACACAAAATATAACCATTTCCCTCAAATGTTGTTTACAAACCAAGTCTGCAGCTAAAAGTTTGTTGAATATCATTGAACTTCAGCGCTCTGCTCTTCACGTTTAATTCACCAATGTAAAAACTTCTTCAGACTACCCCGGTTTCCGCTCTACAAGTGGAGATGGGTGAGATGCCACTGGGGTTCAGGAGAGAACAACTAGCCATAAATCACTAGGTAAATATTAAACCACATAGTGAAATTCATCCTCCATATGTTACACTGCATGTCAAGAAAAAAAAAGAAAAAAGTTAATAGTTTTGGATGGACAATTATGAATAAAGTAAAAAATGTAGGAATAGATAACTTTGTAATCAGTCCTGTGGTTGTTATTCCTGCTATTCCATCATGGATCTTTGGACAGGCTGATGTTGATTTAAACTTATTGAGAAAAAGGAGACAGTTAGAAAAAAAGGAGGTGGAAAGTTATATTAAAAAATAATATTCAGAATATATACAAATTTATACAGATACTTCTAAAATATTAAATGATAAAGTAGGTATAGCATTTGTAATCCCAGATTTAAATATTATGAGGAATAAAAGAAAAACAGATAAATCGGCAGTGTATACAGGTGAATTAATGGCTATCTTAATGGCTTTAGAATGGATTGAGGAAACAAGAAAAAAGGGAGGTTTTAAATTGTTCAGATTCAAGTAGTGCATTAATAAGTATTCTAGAATTTAATTCAGAATCAAGGCAAGATATTATATTGGATGTTTTTCACTCAATTTTTAGGATTCGAAATGCTGGTTCTGTTGTTAAATTAGTCTGGATTCCTGCTCACATTGGTGTTCTAGGTAATGAGTTAGCTGATAGTTTTGCTAAGAGTGCTGTAAAAAAAGGATGCTGATTTAAACATGAATATAAGTAAAAATGAGTTAAAGAATATTATTAAAATGTATTTCAAGAAGAAATGGCAAGAACAGTGGGATAAAGGAGGGAATGTTAGATTTATTATAGTATTCAAAAAAAGGTTGGATAATTAAGTAAATGTAATAGAATTAAAAAAGAAGAAGATATTATATCTAGGATAAGATTCGGACATACAGGATTAAATAGTACTCTTAAAAATAATGAATAAGCATAATACAGGGTGTTGTATTTGTAGGAAATTAGAAACTGTCCAACATATTTTTTTAGAATGTAATAAATATACTCAGGAAAGAGAGATGTTGCGTAGAGATTTAGGCAGGAATAAAAATAAACTAGATATTAGGGAATTGTTTCAAATGTCATCTGGGGATGTAGTTTTGTATTTTTAGTTTTCTAAGAAGAACGGGTATTTTAGGGAGAATATAATAGATTGTCTGATCCCATTCTGGAAAGTGATGGTAATGCACCTATAAGTTGTTTGCCAACCGCCATTAAAAAATAGAAGAAGAACTTTTTCAGACGCCACGCTAGATGGCGCTGAAGCTCCACGCAGCGACAAAAGCAGACACACTGCACTGTCTTGTAAATTCTCGTTGACTTACTGTACCAAAAGGTGACGAATGATGGAAGGAAGCAAATTTTATTAGCAAATATATTGAAATAGATGCGATTCATTTATTAATACGGATGAATTTAACCTTTAATCTACAGAGCTCCAGATGAATGTCTCAAAACGAGTTATCTCTTAAAATAACATGAACATTTAGGCAGATCGTTTCAGTATGTGCGCCGAATGAGAGGTGGTTCGTTTATGAGTAAATTCTGCAAGTTTTTCTTTCAACTTTTAAAGAAGCTGATTAATTTTCTCATAATGAGAAGACTTTTAACGAGAATTATAAACAGAGTTCTGCTGAGCGGACAAATAACAGCAGCGATGAGAGGAGCTGAAGCAGAGATTCATACAGAAGGACGAAGAAAGTTGGTGAGTTGAATCCCTCATCCTTTATTCAGTCTGATGCCGTTTGAATAAACACCTATTTTTAAATCAGTAAATGTTCCGGTGAAGGTTGTCGAACGGTCTCACCAAACTTTAAACAAAAATCAAACAATTTAGTATTTTTTGTTCTTTATTTCTTCTTTAAGTTTAGCTGAGGTAAATCTGGAATTAAGACATTCCATTCATTCATTCGGCATTATTAGTTCTCTTGGTTTCTTTCATTTAATGACATTTATAGTAGAGTTAGGTTCTAATACAATATCGTCACTAAGAACCTTTAAACAACCACTGGAGCCCCGATCAATCCATCGTCTGAGCATTGAGAGGAAGGATCAGCTGCACAACCACCAAGATATGGAGCTTCACTTAAACCCACAGGCGGGGCAAGGAGAGCCTTCATCGTTGAAGCAGCTTAGGGTACCAGCAGCAGCTCCCTCTGGGGGAGCTGCAGAGATCCACAGCTCAGGTGGAAGAGTCTGATATAAGGAGAGCTTTAAATAGGGACTCCATTGGATTTGTATTGAATAAAACAACTGGAGCTGGTGCTTTGCTCATATGACACCAAAAATAATTGTTTCTGCCTTTGCACAGACATCTGCCATCCAACCAAATAACATTGGAGATGCACTGTAGGGGAAAATGAGTGAAGCTGCATAAAGGCAGGCTTGCTAAGCTACTGACATCATATTTAAAAAGACTTCAGGTTGTAATGCAACAAAATATTGAACAAAAACTATAAAATATTTCTTAAATTTTGTTAATATGTTCCCTATTTTGATAAAGCTGCAATATTGTTTTACAAATATATACTGTAATGGAATCCATTGAATTTTGAGGACATTTGCATTTTTGTTTGGAAATAATTCTGTAACATTTAAATGTAAAAAAAGTGCAGCCCTGTAAATATGTTGAATTGGCCTAATCCAAGCCCTGACCTTAATGTTTGCAAAGTTATCCACATCCTATTTAAATGGCTTATTGCATTCACCAAAGAAAAAAATAATCAGACGGTTTATCTCATAATAGATACTGATCTCGTAATTATGAGAAAATATCTCATAATAACGAGATCTTATCTATATATTTGGTTATGATTACTTGAGCCACTAATGAATTGGTCTTCATGATTACTTTTAAAAAATATCTGCATCCTTTCCACTGAACAGTTCTCTGTACCGAGGACCTGATACGCTTTGGAGCTCTGCTCCTGTGTTTCACTTCATCAATAAAGTATGCAGCTATAACCCTGGGATTACTACATGTGGAGTAAGCATGCAGCCATATGCAATAAGCAAAAATCCATCAACAGCTCTATTAACACAGATTCCGTATGGTTTCAGTTTTTCATATGAATTGACATGGAGCATGAAGTTGGGACCTGGTTGTTTTAAACGATTCTGAAGCCTCAGCTGTTCTCTTTGAGGATCTAAGATTTTGAAAAGATACCAGCTTACATTTATTTGGGAAACCACTAAGCCAGCTGGAATGCATTTCAGATGCATTCATTTATAACCATAAAGCATCCCGTGCTGGTTTAATTGCTCCTACAGGAACAGTGCGAACAGTCAGAGTGGGCTTTCTCACCTAAACAATTTTAAGGACTTACTAAGAAATACTGACAAACTCAAACTAATTCCATACACATTGAGGAAACTCAGTATTTCCCAGTGTTGCAAACCTAAAAGTAAATAAAAGCATCTGACAACCCACTCATTGTTCACGTTTCATGTAGCGTAGCTCGGCAATGACTCTCCTTCCTGATCTCCTAAATACGACATATTATCTCGACATTAAATCTTGTAATTATGAGAATGGATCTAATCACATTGAAATCAGGATCTCTTAATTACAAGATAATATCTCCTAATTACGAGATACTGATCTCATAGTTATGAGATAAACTGTCAGATTTTTTTTTCCTTTGGTGAATGCAATACGCTTCAGTAGTTATAAATATTCAGCAGCTTCTGCCTTTCTGCTTTCAGTAGAAACCTTTTATCAAAACCATGTTATGTTTTCCTTCCAACTCACAGCTATGCCTCTACTGTCTGAAGAGATTTAACTATAAATCCCCAGAAAGGACATAGATCTTTAATGGTCCAAATATATATATATAAAAATGACTCTGAAGCCAAATGACATCTAGGGGAGTTTTATTCTGGATAGTTATATTTAGAAGCATTTTTCTAGACATTAAATTAACCTTACAGGACTGCTCTGTGGAAAACTACAAACTCAGTTTCAAAAGAAATTAGATCTTTATATATATTTTTTTATTTGTTAGCTTATGTAAAGTTTTTTTTAGTAAAAAGATTTAGATTTTGAAAGATATATTTGAAGTAATATTTTAAAAACATTTTTAAAAAGTCTTAAGGTGAATGCATTATGTGTGTGGTCAAATAAAAAAAAAAGACAAGCTTTCACGGTTCTAACTGAAAGAAAAAACATTTTATAGTTTTATTAATAATAAAATATGTAAAGAGAGAAATGTTTTTTTTTTAATAAAGTAAAAAAAAGTGATTATTTAGAGCCACAGTCTGTTTTTTAGGTGATTTTTGCAGACTGATGATAGATGCGACTAAAGACAGAACTGATATAACAGTCTGTGTTTTAGGTGGTGGGCCTGGGGAACCCTGGGATGGAGGGTACCAGACACAGCGTGGGGATGGCGGTCCTCGGAGCGCTCGCCGCTCGGCTCGGTATGGCCAACCGTTGGCGCGGCGACAGTCACGTATCCGGTGAGGTCATCCTGACGGAGGTCCAGCATACCCGCGTGGTTCTGCTCCGCCCGAGGCTGCTGATGAACATCAACGGGGTGTCTGTGGCCAAAGCGGGTGAGGTCATCAGCGGCCATGTCAATGGGCTCGTTTAGTGCTCCTTTCTGATTGTTCTGTTCAGGTCACAGTTGAACTCAACACTGGAAAAACACCAGAAATTCAGCATCTTGCCGTGGAATCAGATTAGATTTTCTTTCTTTCCTTTAAATTTTTAAAAACATCTCTGCTGATTCTCCGTAGACATCATCACAGTTTGCAGACTTTAAGCTGTTAGATTTTAAAACAAGATTTTAAAGGGATTCAATTTGTGATCAGAAGTGGTTATTACATTTTATCAGTTCCTAAGTGCGAGACAAGATCATCTCATCTTTTCTAATTCACTTCTTTCATCAGTTTTCATGTTTTTTTGACCAGAAGAAAATGTTTTTATTATTATTATTTCAGGTAGTATTTTGTAAATGAGGCAGATTCACAGAAATTAACTTTAAATTGTTTTTGGGTTTTTATTTAGCTGGTAAATATGGCATCAAACCTGAGGACGTCCTGCTGGTGCATGACGAAATGGACAAACCTTTGGGGAAAATCGCCATCAAACATGGAGGAAGTGCCAGGTAGGTTTTTTTCCTAGTAGTTTCTTACCCCCAGATTCCACATCCTCCGCCCCGGCCCGTCTCGCCCCGCTCACGTACGTCCTGTGCAGCACTTGCGCTGTCATGTTAATCAATGAGAGCTGTTTCACATCCACTGCTACTCTTCCGTACGTCACCGTCCACGTACGTCTTATCCATCCTTCACTGTCAAAATTAGGAGCCAAGCTATACTCTTCTCCTCTCTGGTCCGTTGGAAGCTGGCCAGGTCAACATCCGCAATTGCAATCACACCAAACAGGAAAAGAACGTTAAGAAGATCTGGCTTGTCAAAGTGAAATAAAGTAACGATAGATCAGTAACTACTAATTAGAGCATCATTTTTATATATTCCCCAAAAAGAAGGATGATTGATTGGTTCAAACTATTGGTGCTTCAACATAACAGGAAGGAGATTTGTACGACGGAGTATTAGAGCCAGGCTAGAGATTTACATTTTTTTTTTTTTGAGAATAAAGTTGTAATATTACAAGAATAAAGTCCTAACATTACGAGAATAAAGTTGTAATATTGCGAGAACGAAGTCCTAATATTACGAGAATAAAGTTGTAATATTGCGAGAACGAAGTCCTAATATTACGAGAATGAAGTCGTAACACTATGAGAATAAAGTTGTAATATTACAAGAATATAGTCGTAACGTTACGAGAATAAAGTCGTAACATTACGAGAATAAAGTCATCATATTACGAGAATAAAGTTGTAATATTACAAGAATAAAGTCATAACGTTACGAGAATAAAGTCGTAACATTACGAGAATAAAGTTGTAATATTACGAGAATAAAGTCGTAACATTACGAGAATAAGGCCGTTATATTACGAGAATAAAGTTGTAATATTACAAGAATAAAGTTGTAACACTATGAGAATAAAGTTTTAATATTACAAGAATATAGTCGTAATATTATGAGAATAAAGTCATAACATTACCAGAATAAAGTCGTAATATTACGAGAATAAAGTTGTAATATTACCAGAATAAAATTGTAATATTACAAGAATAAAGTCGTAACGTTACGAGAATAAAGTCGTAACATTACGAGAATAACGTTGTAAATTACGAGAATAAAGTTGTAAATTACGAGAATAAAGTTGTAAATTACGAGAATAAAGTTGTAAATTACAAGAATAAAGTTGTAAATTACGAGAATAAAGTTGTAAATTACGAGAATAAAGTTGTAAATTACGAGAATAAAGTCGTAACATTACGAGAATAAAGTCGTAACATTACGAGAA